CTCTCTCGCTCTCTCGCTCTCTCGCTCTCTCGCTCTCTCGCTCTCTCTCTCTCTCTCTCGTATAATTTTAAAAACATTTTGCACAAACTTCTTGGTCACTTCCCCTAACTCCTACAGACAATTCAGCACCTATCCCTCTGTAAAGCTTCTTAGTGATTTTCTGTAAAATGTGATAGATAAATGCAATCTGTTGTTAGTGTCTTACTTTACAATAAGCCTGTCATTTCCTAAGAATGTTCTCAAATATGTTATATTTTTCCTCAGGTATAAGTCTGTTGTCCTGGCAGCTAACCATTTTGGTAGATTTTTCACTGGTCAGATAACAGCTGCTGGAAAAGTACCTCCTGCAAAGGTAAACATTGTTCACTAAATGCTGCTCCAGAACTTACAATTTTGGTGTAACCATGATGTAATGTTGGAGCATTGTTACACAACTCCAACTGCTATACGTTCTCCCACAGCCTTCTAGAATCCATTCGAATTCCTACAGAATTAGCCTGAAGTATTTCCAAGACATGTGGATTTTTCTCCCCCTCAGTGTGGAGCTGGAGAAACACCAGCAGGTCAGGCAGCATCAGAGGAGCAGGAAAAACCTGAAACAACATTGACTTTGCTGCTCCTCTGATGCTGCCTGGCCTGCTGGGTTCCTCCAGCTCCACACTGTGTTGACTCTGACTGTGACTCCAGTATCTGCAGTTCTTGCTATCTCTGGATTTCTGTCCCCCAACTCCTTTGCCTCCAGTTAATGGAAGGAAGGTTTGTGGCAAATGTCACTACTAAATAAAGCTGAACTGTGCGCAGCTTGTATGCGAAATGTTACAGATTCTTTAAGGTTACGTATTTGAGAAGCTGGACTCTCATGTTAGGTAATGTTAACCAGATTGTTTTTACACTTGTAACCAGGGTTGTAGACTATACATCATGGAAACAAACCCTTTGGTCGAACTCATCCATGCCGACCGGATATCCTAAACTAATCTAGTCCCATTTGCCAGCATTTGGCCCATATCCCTCTATACCCTTTTTAAACCCTTTTAAAAGTGTAATTGTACCAGCCTCCACCACTTCCTCTGGCAGCTCATTCCATACACACACGCACCACCCATTGCGTGAAAAAGTTATCTTCCCCCAGGTCCTTTCTAAATCTTTCCTCTCACCTTAAACCTGTGCCCTCTAGTTTTGGATTCCCCCTCATGATTTTATAAACTTCTATATGGTCACCCCTCAGCCCCTATGATCCAAGGAAAATAGCTCCAACCTATTCAGCTTCTCCCTATAGCTCAAACCCTTCAACCCTGGCACCATCCTCGTAAATCCTTTTTGAACCCTTTCAAGTTTCACAACAACTTTTCGATAGCAGGGAGACCACTTTACAATGTGTTCATCCAGCCCTGCACCTTGTTGTCTCGGATTCTCCAGCATCTGCAGTTCCTACTATCTCTGATCCACTTTACAATCGCCTTCTTTCGGATCATGTCAGATATTTACTGACTTCCTTCAGATAAAGGAAAATGAAGGACACATTGAAACTCTAATGTCAAATTTTGGGTATCCTTTCTGATTAAAACATACGGAATAACTAGTCCTTTCTCCTTCAGATGCTAGCAGACCTAATACACTTTCAACATTTTACAGTTTAAATTCTGGAACATTTCCAGACAGGTTGCCCAATACCTATTGGAGGTTAGAAGAATGAGAAGTGATCTTGTTGAAATATAGAAGATTTTAAGGGGACTTGACAGGGTGGATGCCAACAGAATATTTCCTAGCATGGGAGAGACTAGAACAAGGGGACACAGTTTAAAACCTAAAGCGTTCTCCTATTTAAGGTAGATGAGATTTTTTTTATTCAATAGAATTTTGTTCCCCTAGAGAGCAGTAGGGGGCAGGGTAATTAAACATTTTTAAGGCCGAGTTAGATTCTTGATTGACAAGGGAATCAAACGTTATAGAAGGCGGATAGGAAATTAGAGTTGAGGCTATAGTCTGATCAGCCATGACCTTAGTGGTATAACAAGATCAAAGGGCTGTGTGACCTCCACGTTCTTAAATCATGTTTGTTTTTTGCGTTTATTTACAGAATTCATATTTTTGTTCATATCTCAATTGATGACTTCATTTTTTAAGGGCACGTTTTGGTGTTTCTATTCTTTAGGCCACAGGCTTGTTAATTTTGATACTTTGTTGCAGTTTTCAGAAAAGCTTTGCTTTTACCATCTCCTTGGTAGAGTTAATATTCCAATTGAAGTTTTAAACATCCACTCTCTGTGGGACAATACTTACTGAATTTATAAACTAGCTGGTAGCAACTGCCATGGAAAAATCGTGCTTAGGATAGGAAGGGTAAAATTGTTAAAGAGGATATCGACAGTTCTTTTCTTTTGAGCAGAGCTTGGACTTTTGCCTCTGTGTAGTTAGATTACTAAGTAAAAGCATGTTTGTGAATCTGGGCGCTATCCACCCTCCCTTATTGTGAAGGAACCTTTCCCCACTGAAAGATGTTGTATACAGGCTGAATACTGAACAAACTCCTCACAACTGGTTTGCAGTCTTCAATAATGCAGAGATGCGGGAATTTAAGTTAGTTGCACTTTGTGGTGAAAACAATTTCATAATGTATTTTTAGCCTTGAAACATTCAATGTTATGATTTCCATGCCTCCAGAAGTATTAATTCACCTATCGGAGAAAGTTAGCTTAAATTATTTTATGATGTGCTGCATGTTTTATTGCAGCGTAACATTGTAATCTGAGCATTATGTTATTACTGCATTGGCTGATTTTAAAAATAAGCTGTCCAATTTGTGTTAGTTTCCTCCCTTTTCTCCAAATTGCTTCCCTTTTAACATCTGTTCATGAATATTACTTACACTGATTCTCTAGAAGAGCAGTCCAAGTCTTATTTATACTCTGCATAAAAATTATATTGATGCATAATCCTGTGAGAATAGATTTTTCTCTTTCTAGTTTGCTTCATTTCAATCTCCTTCATCCATTTGAACATATCTCCTGTCATCCTCCTCCTCTTAAATGATAAAGCTCTAGTTCCTTTCATCACTCCTCATAGCTAAAGCCTCTCACCTCTGAAATAATCTTAGCGAATCTATCCCGGGTTCTTTTGAGGTCTGAGTGTCTTGCCTAATGAAAAGTACTCCAAAATGGAAACCACAGTAAACATTCATTTTCACCATTCTAATTACAAATGCTTTTCTGTGGTTTCCTCACTTAAAACTTCTTAATGTCTTGTACACTAGGTACTGGTTATTGGGGGAGGTGTTGCTGGTTTAGCTGCTGCTGGTGCTGCAAAATCGATGGGAGCCATAGTCCGTGGTTTTGACACAAGGTAATATTGCTTTTGTTGCATACAACAAATTAAATATTTTGCTCCTTATATACTAGTTTATAAAATGAGAAAAGAAAATCAAGAAAACAGTAAAACAATGGTAAGGAATACTGTGGTTCTTGTAGCCAGGACATTGGAATTTCAACCTTCAGAGGAAGAGGTCAATTAAGACTAAAAGACCATTGGATGTTTTACCAAAGGTTCTTTGGATAAATTTGTGGAGAGATTCTTTCAAAACAGTCTTTCTTGACAGCAGCTTTGATTAGAGAATTGAATGCAGAGATTAACATGCTCTATCTGCAATGCTAACTAAATTGGGAACAGGGTGAGCACCACATAATTTATCCCCTTTCAAAACAAAGAAGTTTGAAAAAAAAGTTGATTTAAATGTCTAAATTGAACAAGTGGAACTGATTATGATGTGTTCGGATTTAAATGTTGGCTGAGAGGGAATTTAAAAGCAATGTTGGTAGCTATTAAAGAGAGCCGAGTTGGACAAGCTTATGAAGTTACTGGAAGCCCTCATCAATGAATTATGACTAATGTTCCAACCATCTTAGAAACTGACCTTTTACAGAAAAGGTGCCCAAAATGTGTGCTCTATAAGCAATCATTTAAGACAAATTATCATGTATAATTCTTTTGTAGAGCTGCAGCCTTGGAACAGTTTAAATCATTTGGAGCAGAGCCTCTTCAAGTTGATGTGGAGGAGTCAGGAGAAGGAACTGGAGGATATGCTAAAGAGATGTCAAAGGAATTTATTGAAGCTGAAATGGCACTGTTTGCCAAACAGTGTAAGGAAGTGGATATTCTCATTAGTACTGCTCTGATCCCAGGTGAGTGTTGACAGCCTTGAAGCTCAATATTTTTTTTAAAAATCACTATCATTTTATTTGCACCCTCCAATTTTTCTAAAAGGTCCCCGTTGGCCTCTTTAACAACAGAAGGAAAAAAAAATGCCTTTTTTTTTTTTTTGCATGATTATAATCTCAGTTTTTTGGTCTGCAATAAAGAGTTTTCAAATGGGGTCAGACAGGAACTGTCTATTTTGGTCAGGGAACAGCTAAATCTACAGCAGAACAGTGAGAGGTGTTCAAAAAGCTATCTTGGGGGAGGATAGGCCGACCATATTCCCTTTCTGGTGAAATGTAGCAGCAACAAACCCAGAGAGCCCTGGATGTCTCGGAATATTCAAGACTGGATTAAAAGGAAAGGAGAGAGGTATAACAGGAGCAAAGGGAGCAAAACAACAGAGGCCCGAGAGAAGTATAGAAAGTGCAGGGGAGTATTTTTTAAAAAAAAAACTAATTAGGAGAGCTAAGAGGGAGCATGAAAAAATGCTGGCAGGCAAGACTCTGGTGAATCCAAAGATATTCTACAAATATACTAGGGTAGGAGTGAGACCTGTTGGCGACCAAGTGGACAATTTGTGTTTGAAGTTGGAGGATATTGGTAGAATGTTAAATAAGTACATTATGTTTGTCATTATTCAGGAGGGTGATGACTCAGGTACAGAATTTTAAAAGATACAGTCCTTTGTGTATAGGAGTTGGGAAGTCACGTTGAGGTTGTACAGGACATTCGTGAGAACTGTTCTGGAATACTGTGTCCAGTTCTGGTTGCCTGGTTATAGGAAGGATATTATTAAGCTGGAGAGGGTTCTGAAGAGATTTACCAGGATGTTGCTGGGTATGGAAGGTTTGACTTTTGAAGAAAGGCTGAATAGCTTGGGACTTCTCTCGCTGGAGCATAGGAGGTTGAGAGGTGACCTTACATTTTTAGGGTGAGAGGAGAGCGAATATTTTTTTGTTTTTTTTTTGTAAAGCGAGAGGTAATTTTTTTAAACTGAGAGGTTCGCATTAACTTCCAGAGAAAGTGGAAGAGATGGGTGCAGTTACAACATTTTAAAAGACATTTGGATCAGAATCTGAATAGGAAAGGTTTGGAGGGATATGGGCTAGGAGCAGGCAGGTGGGAGTAGTTTAGTTTGGGATCATGTTCGGCATGGACTGGTTGGACAGAAGGATCTGTTTCTGTGTTGTATGACTGTGAAATTTTTGAACAGATTGATATAAAATGTGAAAAAGTTTCAATGGATTAAGTGGAAAAATTCCCAGGCGCAGATGACTCGTATCCCATGCTGCTGTGGGAGATGAGGGAGGAAATTTTTTAAAAATTGTCTCTGTCTCTGGCTACAGGCCAATGCCAGAGGACTGAAGGACAGCTAACGGGGGGTTCCACTTTACAAGAACAGTGGTGGAGAGAGACCAGGGAACTATAGACCAATGAGTCTAACATCAGCGGTAGAGAAACTATTGGAGAAAATAGTGAAGGAGAAAATTAATCACCATTTTCAGAGGCAAGGTGTGATTAGGGAGAGTCATCACGGCTTTGTCGGAAGGAAGTCATAGTAACAAAGAGAATATTTTTCAAAATGCCTGAAGATTAAATATTTATACCTCCAGCTTGTGTTGGGCTGTACAGGAAGAAGGGAGAGTAGACATGGGTGCCACAGTAGATATGCTATATCTAGATTTCCATAAGATACTACAGAATAGACTAATGGACAAGATTAAAGCACACAAACCATCCAAAACCCATGACTTCTATCATCTAGAAAGATACAGATGCATAGTGAAACCACCACCTACAAGTTCCCCTTCAAGCCGCTCCCTATTGACTTGGAACTTATCACCATTCCTTTACTGGTACCGAGTCAAAATTTTGGAAGTCGCTTGCTAATGGCATTGTAAATATACTGACCCCAACATGGATTCAACAGTTCGAGAGAGCAGCTGACCACCATCTTCTTGAGGCCACTTGGGTATTGGCAAAGCTGTAAATGATGGTCTCATCAGCAATGTCCATATCCCTTGAAGGATTGTTTACATTATGCAAAAACAGGATAAACAGCAGAATAAATGGCTAGTTGGCTGAAAGTTGGAAAGAAAAGAGGATGAAAGTAGCTATTCAAAGCAATAGAAAGATCACAATAATTCATAAAATTACAACATACTGTGGATGCTGGAAATCTGAAACAAAAATTTGAAAATACTCAGCATTTCGGGTGATAGTTTTGGAGAGAAACAGAGTTAATGCTTCATGTCAATAACCATTTGGCTGGATTAAGCCAGTTTTGGTGAAAAGTGCACGTATTCTGTTTTCCTCATCCATTTGTCTAAGTTCAGTGCTGACAAAAAAATCATGTGTGATCTTTTTGTGTTAAAATTCAATGCTTAATTGATTTAAGTACCTTTTTGTAACCCAGTTGTCTACACATACACTTTAGAAAAAGGGAGATGAATAAGGTACCATTGAGCTCCCCAAACTAAGATACAAATACCTTGGGAGGGAGTTTTCCTTTTGAAGTTGATGTGTAATAGGGAGAAGAAAGAATATTGAATATTGTATAGAAAGTAAGATTGTCCATTTCCTTAAATAAAACAGAATGCTGTTGCTTTGAGCTGACTTAGTGCAGTATGTGCTGTAGATTCAAATAGATGAGTAATATGTGTACTGAAGTTATAGATTTTAATAAAAGCATGATTTCTGCTAATTTTATAAAGAAGCTGTTTTATAAGATGTTAAGTTTTTAAGAGTCATAGGATGTGTACAGTATGGAAACAGACCCTTTGATCTAACTCATCCATGCCAACCAGATATTCTAAATAAATCTAGTCCCATTTGCCAGCATTTGGCCCATGTCTCTCTCAACCCTCCCTATTCATGTACCTGTCCAGATGCCTTTTAAATGTTGTAATTGTAGCAGCCTCCACGACTTCCTCTGGCAGCTCATTCCATGCACAAAACACCCTATGCATGAAAAAGTTGCCCCTTGGATCCTTTTTTATTCTTTCCTCTCTCACTTTAAATCTGTGCCATCTAGTTTTGGACTGCACCATCCCAGGGAAAAGACCTTCCCTATTCACTCTGTCCATGCCCCTCATACCTTTATAAATCTCTTTAAAGGTCACCCCTCAGCCTCCAATGCTCCAGGGAAAATAGCCCCAGTCTGTTCAGCCGCTCCCTATAGTTGAAACCCTCCGACCCTGGCAACATCCTTGTGAATCTTTTCTGAACCCTTTCAAGTTTCACAACATCCATCCTATAGCAGGAAGACCAGAACTGCGTGCAATATTCCAATAGTGACCTAACCCAATGTCCTGTACAACCGCAACACGACCTCCCAACTCCTGTACTCCATGCACTGACCAATAAAGGAAAGCATACTAAACGCCGTCTTCACTATCCTAACTACCTCTGACTCTGCTTTCAGGGAACTATGAACCTGCACTCCAAGGTCTCATTGTTCAGCTACACCCTGCCCCCCTCCTTCCCCCAGGACCTTACCATTAAGTATATAGGTCCTGCCCTTATTTGCCTTTGCAAAATGCAGCACCTCACATTTATCTAAATTAAATTCCAGCTGCCACTCTTTGGCCCATTGGCCCATCTGATCAAGATCCCATTGTACTCTGACATAGCCTTCTCTGCTGTCCACTACACCTCCAATTTTGGTGTTATCTGAAAACTTACTAACTATACCTCCTACGTTCACATCCAAATCATTTATATAAATTTAAAAAAAAACACAGTGGACCCAGCACCAATCCTTGTGGCACACTGCTGGTCACAAGCCTCCAGTCTGAAAAGCAGCCCTCCACCACTACCCTCTGTCTTCTACTTTTGAGCCAGTTCAGTATCGAAATAGCTAGTTCTCCTTGTATTCCATATGATCCAACCTTGCTAACCAATCTACCATAAGGAACCTTGCCGAACACCTTATTGTAGTCCATATAGATCATGTCCACCTCTCTGTCCTCACCAATCCTCTTTGTTACTTCTTCAAAAACACTCAATCAAGTTTGTGAGACACAATTTCGCATGCACAAATGCTGAATGTTGAATTTAGGATATCAATGAGTAAAGGTGAAATACACTTCCAGGAGAAACAAGATTTTAAAATTAATGTATTTGCAGGAAAACGGGCTCCAATTCTAATCACTCAGGAGATGGTGGAAACAATGAAGGATGGCTCGGTTATCGTGGATCTAGCTGCTGAAGCTGGTGGAAATATTGCAACAACAAAACCTGGAGAAGTTTATGTGCACAAGGTTAGTAAAAGATTCTCAAAAGTTGCATTTTTCAGTTTACATTTATGTGGGTTTTAAAAAAAAAAAAAAGAAAGTCCGTCTAATATTACCTTCTGTAAATGTCAGCTCATTTTTGTTAACACTCTCATCTGATCTGTTAGGGTGTGACCCACGTCGGCTATACAGATCTACCAAGCAGAATGGCCACACAGTCCAGTAGCCTGTACTCGAACAACATTTTGAAGCTCTTAAAGGCAATTAGCCCTGACAAGGAGTACTTTCACTTTGAGCCCAAGGATGAATTTGGCTATGGAACAGTTGATCATGTTATCCGAGGCACTTTGGTAATGCAGGTGGGTGTTGTGATGCATTAATCTGATTCAGATTAATGTAAAAGGCTTACAGCCGGATTTGAGTAAGCAAGTGAAGAAGATTAAAACCTCGTGTTATGTAATGTGAAAATATTAGCCTTCATTTTAATTTTGTAATCTTTTAAAGAAAAATGTACAAAGTGCGATCAGGCTGTGCACTGTTAGTGGAGGAACATTAAATGGATTGTTATAATTGTAGGCCATATTTTCCCTGAGGATTTTCTGCTGATAAATGATTTCACAAGGAGCAGCAACATCATTGCATTCCCGGCAACTGCTGCTCCACTTTCTCATGTTTAACAATGACTTTCCCACCTGAATCCTGTTTGAATCCAGATTTCCCACAAAAATTGAAGGGGAAGCATAAAATCAGGAGGGAGTGGTACTAATTATACTATACTGGAGAAAGAGGAAATGTGATACTTGAAATAAAAGATAATATATTTCTGGGTGCTAACCAATATGAGGATGAGAATTTTGGTGAGTTCAACCATATGGATTGTTATAAGCTTTGTATTCACAACCTCAGCATCCTCTCTGACCCCATAGCCACAAATCATACACTTTCACCCTGAAATATTGCCTGCTTCTGTCTCTGCATCTGCTGCTGAAACTCTCCTGTCCAGAATGAACAATTTCAATGTTCATCTGGCTAACTTCTGTCTTAGCTGTACCTGATCCAAAATTCTGGTTTCTGTAACCTAACATTTATCGAGTCATTCTTACTGGCATACATTGGCTCAAAGTCCACCATCACCTAGAGTTTTTAAAACTCTCGTTTTTGCCATCATGGTTCCCTTATCTCTGTAACCTCATCCAGCCGTACAACCCAGCAAGAGCCTTGGGATCTTCAGACTCTGACCTCTTGCACAGCCCTTTGCTCACTTTGCTGCACCGTTACTGGCAGTGTCAACTGTTATCTAAGTGTTAGAATTTCCTTCCTGAATCACTGCCTTTCTTTGTCATCATTTAAGACACTCCCAAAAGAAAGTCTCCAGCCAAACCTTGTGTCTCCATCTCCTAATATCTCCTTTGATTCAGTGTCGGCTTTTGACAGATCAGGCTGTTGTGATGAGCAAGAACATTTCCCTATAATAAAGACGCTACGTAAGTCCAACATTTCAGCAGACATCTGTACAGAGTTGGAATCTTACTGATTTTATGTGCTCATTACCTGTCTAAGTCTATCTGGCCTATAAGTCTTAAAAACAAGGAAGATAAATCAATCTTCATTTGATTAAAAGTGATTAAGACTTTAAACTTTCCACTTTTGCACACAGGAAGGCAAAAATTTGTTTCCCGCACCCCAACCCTTAAATGTTCCAGTGAGTGCTCCTGTTAAACAAAAGACAGTTTCGGAGCTTGAATTTGAAAAAGAGGCCATGGCTTCTCCCTTCACAAAGACAATGACCTCTGCGGGAATCTATACAACAGGTAAGGTCAAAGTGGGGAGGATAAAACATTTGTACCTTGTTTTCTTTTAACTGCACCAGTAGAGGTGGTGCAAAATTACTCCAAAATGGACAAAATCAATCTTGGAAAAACCTCATTTTAAAAGATGCCAGTATGCTAGATTAGAGTACAGTCGAAAAGGAGGAAGCTTAAGGGGAGCTAGATCAGCGATTTTTGTTTTTTTTTTTTTTCGTTTTTTTGATACTTGTGTGGTTTCAATTCCTGCTCCCAAGACTGTGGCAGTGCATAGGAAATGGAAGAGTGGCCTGTGATCTGAGCAGCCCTCCCTGCAGGTTTCTGCTCTGCAGGACATTCATATGCGGTCTCCCACAAAGCAGGCCAAGTCCTACCTAGCCTGTAAAATTGGAGAGGATCAGATGTTTTCAGAGACCTCTAGCCTTGGACAAAATCTTTTGCTGATACACTGGTTGCTCTTTTAAACAGTCATCCATCCAGTGAAAATCAAATTCCTAGCTGATATGTAATCTCCTTAATTGGATCAAAGCAGTTCACTGTTAGATTATTGATCATGAATTGATCCTGTCATGGCACTTTGGAGATGAGTGACATATTGGGCTGAATGTTCAGGACTCCACTGGAGGTCGTGTGGGACATCAAGGAGAGGATCATCCTCGGGATGTGGATCCTGGCACCATTCTCTCTGGCTGTAGGAAAACCAGCTGTCCCCATAAGGCAGGAGGCAAATTAGGTTCAGTGGGAACCTTGTGGAAGGTGAGATCAGTCAGTTTGCTGATGTGACAGGATCGTGATTAAATGCCTGCCATGTGACTGGAGTGCTCCTGATCAGTTTTCGGGCTGTCCCTCCCTGCCTGGGTGACAAGTATGTAAATAGACCTCCCATCTAAGACAAAACTTGTCCCCTTGCCTGTCAGTGGTTGCTTTTTCTGTTTGTGCTTTTTATAAAGTCGCCAAGAGGAAGTGGTCTTGTTGAAGCGCCCTCTGCTTATTTACCAGCTACTGCAGCTGAGTGCTTCTATAGCCAGAACACCTCTGAGAACCAATTCACCTCCGCTAATTGAACAGGAAATCTTGCCTCAATGCCAACCAAGGGCTCAATCTTAACTTTAATCTGCTTCTTACAGGAGTGGTTTTCTGTCCCAATGATAAACCAGTCTCCTGTTTGACCTCACTCCATTTGGAGTGTTCTGCTCATTGTCATTGCTCTAGTTGTGTGAAGAAAGAAATGTGTACTTTATTCTAATGATAATTAAATAAAATGCTCCACTTATCATGATTTATTACTGAAGTGACACTGAACTAATGTTGTACCTTAGGTTTGGCTGGAGTTCTCGGGTTAGGAATAAGCTCCCCAAATCCTGCTTTCACTCAGATGGTTACAACATTCGGTCTAGCAGGCCTTGTGGGATATCACACTGTGTGGGGCGTCACTCCGGCTCTGCATTCACCGCTAATGTCTGTGACGAATGCCATCTCGGGTAAGCATTTTACAAAGTTACTTTCAAACTTCTCATATATTGACATAATCTCTGAAGTACAGCAAAATATTCTCCAGTCTGGGTGTATTTATGTCTGTTCTGTCCCATGTTTTTAAAAAAATTTCCATGGAATAATCTGCAAATGTGTATGTAAATATGGGTTTTCTTGAAATGGGTAGTTTGTAATTTATGGGTACATCTGTTTTACTTTCAGCAGGCTCTGTATCATTGTTCTAGTTGTCCCTCCACTGGCATTCTCAGTTATCAGGCTATTGACTGCAAAGCTCCCTGCCTCTGAGTTTACCTCTGGTTTATTATCAGAAATGTTAGAGTGGCCTTTCCTGTGTTATCATTGTACATGCATTCCTCTTATGAGATAAAATCAATTGCAGATGACTGGTGTTTGGTGAACTTTGTGATGATCTGACCTACCAAGGTCTGATCATATTGAAAACAAAAACTTTGTTGGTCTAGTGAGATGCCATTGGGTTGGCACTTGCACAAACTCCGCTACATCCAGTTGTGTTTTTGGCTGTAAAAACTCTGGATCTCTGGCTTCCATCAGGCCTTGATCAGGAGACACAATATGCTTTGCTTCAAAGGGTCCCTTTTATAAATAGGAGTACAAATTGTGCATTGATCATGAACTATAATAATGTGTTGAAATGTTAACTTAAGTAATCATAGATTTTACTCGTGAAATTTTAACTCTTTAAATTGCTATTGCTAAATCTTTGTAAAGATGTCAACAAAAGATCCAGTGGCCTTGGAAACTATTGCAATAAACAAAAAGAGAACCAAACAGATTCTTGACAGCCATTTTTCCTTTACTGTGTAATTCATTCATGTTTCTATGTTTTTTTTTAGGTCTTACAGCTGTAGGTGGTCTAGTCCTGATGGGAGGAAGTTACTTACCGTCATCTGTTCCTCAAACACTTGCCCTCCTGTCGGCATTTATATCATCGGTTAATATAGCAGGTAGGTTGGATGTCAGGGACAGGATGCCTCTGTTAGTTGGACAATGCGAGCTGCTGATTCAACAGTTCCATCATCATTTATTGATCAATCCACCTTGAGTTTGCCTTCCCTCCATGGAATATTTTAATTCATTCGGATTGCAGAGGTACAGCTAATGCTCGAGGATGGAAACAGTTCGTAATGAAATTGCTCCATAAGTACTTTTAACAATTAAACAAGCAAAGATTGTACTTGTCTGTGTCATGTTAGCACTTTTTTTTTCTGTAAATTATTTGAACTCGAACTCCCTTTAACCTGAATAGAATCGTCCTTTCTCCAGAGAATTGATGTTGCCCGGTGGGACTGAGCAAACAGAATGCTATAGAACATAGAACATAGAACAGTACAGCACAGTATAGGCCCTTCGGCCCACGATGTTGTGCCAAACTTTTATCCTAATCCTAAGGTCTATCTAACCTCCACCGCTACCTTTTATACTTTCATCCATATGCCTATCTAATAGCCACTTAAATGCACCTAATGAGGCCAACTCCACTACCCTCTCAGGCAATGCATTCCACGCCCCGACCATTCTGAGTAAAGAACCTGCCTCTGACGTCTCCCCTATATCTACCTCCACTCACTTTAAAACTATGCCCCCTTGTAATAACTACCTCCACCCGAGGAAAAAGTCTCTGGCTTGTCTACTCTATCTATACCTCTGATCATTTTGTACGCTTCTATCAAGTCACCTCTCATCCTTTTGTCGTTCTAAAGAGAAAAGCCCTAGCTCTCTCAACCTTTCCTCGTAAAGCCTTCCCTCCATTCCAGGCAACATCCTGGTAAATCTCCTCTGCACCTTTTCCGACGCTTCCACATCTTTCCTGTAATGAGGCTGGACACAATACTGCAGATGTGGCCGAACCAGGCTTTTGTATAGCTGGAGCATAACTTCACGGTTCTCGAACTCAATCCCACTATTAATGAAAGCTAACACACCATACACCTTCTTAACAACTCTATCCACCTGGGTGGCAGCTGTCAGGGAACTGTGGACATGAACCCCAAGATCCCTCTGCTCCTCCACACTGCCAAGAACCTTGAACCTTTAACCCTGTATTCTGCTTTCAAGTTTGTCCTTCCAAGATGAATCATCTCACACTTTTCAGGGTTAAACTCCATCTGCCACTTCTCAGCCCAGCTCTGCGTCCTATCAATGCCCCTTTGTAACCTAGAACAGCCCTCCGCACTGTCCACAAGTCGACCCACCTTCGTATCGTTCGCAAACTTACTAATCCACCCTTCCACTCCTTCATCCAAATCATTTACAAAAATCACAAATAGAAGAGGACCCAGAACAGATCCTTGTGGTACACCGCTCGTAATTGAGCACCAAGTTGAATATTTTCCATCCACTACCACCTTTTGTCTTCTAAGGGTCAGCCAATTCTGAATCCAATCTGCCACATTTCCCCCTATCCCATACCTCCTTACCTTCTGCATGAGCCTACCATGGGGAACCTTATCAAACGCCTTACTTAAATCTATGTATACTACATCCACTGCTCTACCTTCATCTACGTGTTTGGTCACCTCTTCAAAAAATTCAATAAGGTTTGTGAGGCACAATCTACTCCTCACAAGTCCATACTGACTATCACGAATCAAACTGTGCCTTTCCAAGTGATCATTAATCCTATCTCTGAGCCCTTTCCAATAATTTGCCCACCACTGAAGTAAGACTAACTGGCCTGTAATTTCCAGGGTTATCCGTATTCCCTTTTTTTGAACAAGGGAATGATGTTTGCCTCTCTCCAATCTTCCGGCACTGTACCTGTGGACAGGTGAGGACAAAAAGATCATTGCTAAATGCCCTGCGATCTCTTCCCTCGCTTCCTGTAGAATCCTTGGATAAATCCCATCAGACCCGGGGGACTTATCTATCTTCAACTTCCTTAAAATTCCTAGCACATCTTCCTTACTAACAGCAACCTCCTCTAGCCTACCAGCCTGTCACTGTCCTTCTCTACAACTAGGTCCCTGTGAATATCGAAGAAAAGTATTCATTAAGGACCTCTCCTATCTCTTTAGGATCCGTGCACAAATTCCCTTTACAATCCTTGATTGGCCCTACCCTTTCTCTGATCATTCTCTTATTCCTCACGTATATGTAAAAAAGCCTTGGAGTTTTCCTTGATCCTATCTGCCAAGGCTTTCTCATGCCCCATTATAGCTCTCCTAAGCCCGTTCTTCAGCTCCTTCCTGGATAACCTGTATCCCTCTATAGCCTTTTCTGTTCCTTGTTTCCTAAACCTTACATAAGCATCCTTCTTCCTCTTAACCAGTCGTAGGACCTCTCTTGAGAACCAAGGCTCCCTCACTTGACCGCATCTTCCCTACCTGCTAGGGACAAACATATTGAGCACACGCAGTATGCATTCCTTATACAATCTCCACATTTCAATAGTGCTCTTCCCTGACAGCATCTGTTCCCATTCTATGTTACCCAGTTCTTGCCTAACAGAATTGTAATTACCCTTCACCCAATTATAAACTTTACCCTGTTGTATGTACCTATCCTTTTCCATTACTATTGTTCTATAGTTCCAGCTCGCCCCCTACATTTATTTTTGAAGTGATTTTGGGTTTTTTTTTAAATTCCTTTTTTCAGTTTTCAAGTGAGGGGCGCAGGTTCTGCCCGTGACCCAATAGTAGGGTGATCTGAACCTCAGTTCCCACTCTGCCCAAAATGTCATGATGCCCTTTTCACCAAACAGTTTTAGAAATCTTTCCTTAAAGGATTAGTGCCTCCATTCCTGCCAATGGATGGAATACAAAAACAGTAACACCTTACCATTACAAACATTGTACTAGTCATTTCATTCCCTGTATGTTTTAAACTGTCTTCTGGGTGGAAATGTTTGCTTTAAGTGGTAAACTGCGATTGATGTTTTCCATTTCTATTTGTCATACTTCATTGTCACATCAATTTAACATGGCTGTTTTGCAGTGAAATAAGGAATATTTGGAAATATGTATTTTATTTCAGGTGGTTTCCTTATTACCCAGCGGATGTTGGATATGTTTAAGCGCCCCACAGATCCACCTGAATACAACTATCTCTACATGTTACCAGGAGCAGCATTTCTTGGTGGTTATAGTGCCTCTTTGGCCAGTGGATATAACATAGAGCAGGTTGAGTCTATTTTCCTTCTGTAATTCCAGCTCCTTTTGCACATGAAAAGCTTAAAACATATTTGAGTTATAGAGTCCAATGATTTTGTGTTCCTTCTGTTTGGGATCACAAGCTGCAACTTTACATAGAATTTCATGCTGCTTTTATCTTGGCATTAGTTGGCTAGAATGGCATCATGGTCAACACTGACCTGGAGGGCCAAGGTGCCTATTGCTTTTACTGTACTGTTCCATGTAACATTTCAAAAACAAAGGATTTTTTATCGTTAAATTGTGGCATAATAATCGAAATAAGCCTTGGATTTATTTTACTCCCTGCACTGTTAACATTTTTTAAAACCAAGTAATTGTTTTTTCACATAGTAATTGATGCATTTTCAGAACCCGTTTTTCCTAATATTAGAAGATGTGAAGGAATTTCAAATGAACTGATTAAACAGTTCACCAGCAAGGGAAGCTTTCAGCTCCCTTTTAACATCCTGACCCAGTATATCTTGATAAAATTGTTGTTATGGACCAGACCACATCTCCTCAAAACATATTAAGATGATAGCCTGGACTCCAACTTTTTGTTGCTTTTAAAAGCAAGTGTAAAGCATTGTGTTCTGGATGCAATCTGATTGGTCAAACTACCAAGCTTGAAGCAAAATATGCTTTGTTTTTACACTGTAGTTAAAATATAAACAAAAGAAAGAAGAATCAAAATAACAAATCTATTGGAAAATTTAACAGAATAATAAATTTTTTAACTACTAAAGAGCAACTGTTCCAATGTAGTAACATCTCATAAACCCACCCTTGGCAAAGGCACATTCAATATAATAGACTATCTCGCATGCAATTCAAGCAGCAGGAAGAGAATCCCAGCTTTTAGCTGTAACAGAGAGAGGAATAACAGCTTCTACATCCAGCTTCAAGACCCCAGCAACTGCTGAAAGTTAAACTGTAATTCTTGTTCTGTGGGAGCTTGACTCTACCCATTCAGGCTGCTTCTTTTGTTCCAACATTTTTAAAAAGAAACAAGGCCTCATAAGCTGTTTATTTTATTGGATGGGGACAGACTGCTCGTCACTTCTGTCTCAACTTCTCTTCATAAAATAGCTGGACAAAATACACCCCTTAAAGCCATAGTATTGTCACATTGCTAATAATGTCTAATAGTGTTACGAATAAGAAGGGTACGTGATGCATTTCTTTATTTATCCTTTCCACTCTGAGAGAACAGACCAATCATGCAGAACACGCAAACGTAATTTAATACTTTACACTAGTTTCCAGTCGCTAACAATAACTTTGCATTGTAATGATAGAATTTAAAGGTGGATCCAAAATTCAGCTTACCTCCTTAATGGTTAGCTGTCACAATTTTTACCTGATACTTGCAAATGCTAAACTTTTAAAGTGTCTCAAACCTCGTTTGCCTGCCAGGCTTTTATAACCACTCCTAATCCTGTCATCAAGCTTGACAATGGTTTATTTGCACCTCTTTGAAACACCTGGGCTCTCTTTTAACCCCCAAGGTGCAATATGCTCATGTATTTTGTTTTATTGGAGACTACCCAGGGCTTCATTTTAACGAAGGAATAAAAGAGTACCCGATCTGATCTCTGACTCCGGTGAAAGTGATCCCTTATATCAATGCTAACATTTCTGACATGCTTAAGTAAAGTCCAGACATCCTGAGGTGAACAGATTTAATTTAACGATTCTGGCTTTCTCACACACCAGTGGCCGTATAAAATCCAAGATGGTAGAAATAATTTTTGTGTTGCCAACACTCAGAAGCCTGTCAAGTTTAGCTCGTAAGTCTTCCTGGTTCTGTGGCATTAAAGGAAAACCAAGCCAAAATCTTATCTGGACAGCAATAAATAACGGTGTTTAAACTGCAGGAGTACTGCTATATATCAGGCCATGGGAGAAGTGAACCAATTTTGAAGCATTTGGAGGCTTTTTATAGGGGCCTATTGTTTTATTTTCCCGTTTTATAATTGCTTAACTTCCCCACATTATGCAGAAAAGACAAAGAATAACTGCATCTAAATAAGTTTCTTTTTTTTTTGAAAAAGTATATGTAAAGCTGAACACTTATAATATGCACCATTCCTGAATTTGGAAGTAGAATTAGACTTGGTGTACTTAATAGTTGGGGGAAAAGTTTAACCTTTTTGTTAACATATAGAGCTTACTAGAAATATGTTATTTAATATTTCAATGGATACTAAATTTATAGTCTGACAATTTTTCTAACATTTAAAAATGTTTCATTACAAAGTAATAACTATGTTGCTCTTATAGATGATGTACCTTGGTTCCGGTCTGTGTTGTGTTGGTGCATTGGCTGGACTTTCTGCACAGAAAACAGCAAGATTGGGAAATGCACTGGGTATGATTGGTGTAGCTGGTGGTCTGGCTGCCACCCTTGGTGCAATTAAGCCCTCACCAGAACTCCTGGGTCAGATGTCTTCAGCCATGGCGATGGGTGGCACTATAGGTAAGCAAGCAAGTCTAATATGACCTGTCAGCCAATGCATCCAGAGCAGGTTAACTTGGAATATCTTCAGTACTGAATTCTTAGAAAAGTGGAATGATGGCTATTAAATTTTAGAACTACTCATTCTGGTCTCTCTCTCTCTCCTCTCTCTCTCCTCTCTCTCTCTCTCTCTCTCTCTCTCTCTCTCTCTCTCTCTCTCTCCTTTCTCTCCTTTCTCTCTCTCATTCTGTATCTGCCTACCTTACAGCTTGGCTCTCAATTCACCAGATATTTTTGATTTGTTGGTGAACAGAGTTTCATAAAAGGGATGTGTCACTTTTATAGTGGACAAAGCATGTGGTCATTAAAAGGCGTAAAAATATGCAACTGCATAATTTCAGAACAGTCTGCAAATGAAAATGTCTATATGTCAAATAATTTAGGCAACATGGATACACTGGTGAAGCTCAGTTTAAACATGTTGCTTTGCAAAGCAGCTAGCTGATCTACCGAAAAGCAAAATGATTTTTTTTAAGATCAGGATCAATAGTTAATGGGACTTGCTTGTATTGATTTATGGTTAAATGCTGTGTGAAGTAGGAGGGACCTATTTAGCTGTTGGAATTATAAACATGCCATGCTAAAGAAAAAATGCAGCTTTGAATGAATTGTCTGGGTTGCAAGGTCGATATTCTGAAGTTTTGCTTCACATCCTTTTGAGGAACAAAGTGAAACCTGGCAAACTTTATTAAGTCATTAAATGGATTTAAGTAAAGTCAGTGATAGAAAGAAAATGAACATGGGTCCATGAATGCTTAGTATTATACAAGTTGTAATCTGCCTTAACCATTTACTGTTGGTCATCTCAATATAAGTGTTCAGTTGTCCAGATGGTTTTGTTCTGCAGTTATGCTCAGTTGGCAGCACACTTGCCTCTGAATTGCAATGTTTTGGGTTCAAGCCCCACTCTGGCCATGAATACACAAAACGTTGATACTCCAGGTTAGTACTGAGGAAGTATTAGAATGTCAGAGGTGCCATCTTCAGCTGAGGCATTGTACTGAGGCTGGGGTTGGATTTTGCACTTATTGCTGGTGGGTCTGAAAGCCTGAGGAATGTGAAATCCAGAAGATGGCCTCCCAGTGGGAGTTTGCTGAGTGCAAATTAGCTGCTGTGTTACCGACACTACAACAGTGACTTATCTCCAGAAACTTCGCTGACTGTAAAGTGCTTTCAGACATCCAGTTGTTCAAGTACAAAGTGAATTTCTTGGCAGCCTTGTGTGAACAGTGGGCACTGAGCAGGAGGGAAAGGCAAAGTAAAAATGTTAAGCTTTTGAAAAATGGGAGTTAGTGGTAAAACGGAAGGTCTGAGGAATTTGTGGGATATTATTGGAAATTGGGATTGGGGTGCATCCTGTCTATCAGCTGGAGAGTTGGCAAGACCCCATGTCACTTCCTGTCAGGACACCCACCAATCTGGCACAGTGGTGGACTGTCCGTAGGAGCGAAAACCCTGCCCTTAGAGCTGCTGGCTAATTGGAGACTGGCGGCCCTGTGTTGTTCAATAGCGGCACCAGAGAGCAGTAGTGGTTGCTGGTAATGCACTCACCTAAGGCTGAAGATTGCCAAGAGACACAGGCCCATGGTGAGTGATGACAAGGTGGAGATAGTGATGTGGGATTTGGGCGGAAGGGTAATTCTCTGGGGGGTGGCGGGGGGTCTTTTTAATTCAACCTGATTAGATGTTGTTATTACGCAGAGATCGCGCACGCACACGCGCACGCGCACACACCCCAACACCAACACCAACAAAGTTCACTTTTGTGGTCTTCAATATGGTAAGTTTACTTGAATATGATAAATACTAATTGTGCACTTAAAGGTCTCTATTGATAACAGGGCCAGCTCAGGCCATTCATGAGCCCTCCTGTCCCAAATTTAATTGGTGAAGAGGCAGGAAGGTGGCAAGGTACCGAACCAACATCCTTCCGCTGGTTAGTTGCCCCCACACTACCAAATCTGTCTCCGGAGAGGGGCTTCATTCCATCCAATGATTCAGAGTGGAGATGTGATTGCAGGACTGGCCCCCGCTGGTGTATCAGAACGAATGAATGTAAACTGATGTTGGAAGGGACGTAGTTAGATGTAGAGTTGGGTTAGTCTAGGTGATCGCTGAAGTTGGATATGGATAGGCTGTTGAGAATTTTGAAACCAGCTTCTCAGATTAAAATTGGAGCATGAGGAGCCACTCGTCTCTCGTCTACCAAATAATTGTTCCATCTGTAGTGGATTTTGTAAATAATGCAAATAAAATGCTGCACAAAGTACATAGCAAATACTGCTAAAGATTTCTGGTATTGTTTTCCAGAGTACAGAAAGGTGATGGTTTATTAATAATATCCCTGGCATAATAATCCAGAACCGCATGCTAATGTTCCTGGAACAGGGGTTTGAGTTCTACAATGGTAGTTGATGAAATTTGAATTGAATTAAAAATCTTGAATTTTAAAAAGAAAACTAGCCTAATCGTGACCCATGTAATCACTGTCAATGGTCAAAGACCCATCTGGATTACTAATGTTGTCCAGAGAAGGAAATATACCATCGTAACTTGGTCTGGCCTAGGTGACTCCATACCCACAGCTATTGGTTTAACCCTTAACTGGGCAATTAGAGGGGCAACAAATGCCAGTCTATTCGGCTATGCCCACATTTCATTTTCTTTTGGTTAAAATCATATGCCATTATTTGTGTGGATATTGACAGGCACCAAAGAAATGGCAGTAAATTTTTCAGCATAAGGATGGAAGAAATTTTTACTCTGTTTTGCCGTGTTATATGGACATAGGATAATCTTGCAACCATTGGAAGAGACCGAGCTAAAGCTGTATGCTGTCAAAGTAGATAGGGGAACTGGTTCTTGGTAGCATGTAAATGTGAAGAACAAGGCAAGAAGATGATTTGCACATTAGAGGTAACTGTGTGGAGATTGAAGGGACTTGTTGGAAAATTGGTATGTTTGTTTCACAATAATTAAAGTGGATGGAAGATATTGCAAACTGATATTGATAATATCTATTACAGGTGGTATGAGTGGTACAAGGATAGAATAAGTGTTGATATATAAGTGATGTTCCTTTTTTTTTGAGAAATCAGCAGTAGAGGGTGCTGTTGGTCAGAAAACCGTTCCAAAACCTTTAACTATATTTGCCCTGTACTGAGTGATTTACTGTGAATCAATGTACAGTTTCTTTGCGTTATTATAAATGGAAAAATTATTTGACATTTACACCTTCAGCATAACAGTGATGTGATACAAATGTTGGAGGATTAATTGAAACAGGTGATAGATTGGTCACGGGTGAACTGTTCCAGAAAGTTCCTTAATAAACTGACAAAAAAATTAATGGTTGTTCACTCGAGAATCCACTGTACATTCTAAATTCAATGAAGAATCAGATAGGCAGAACTAAATTTGTGTGTGTTGTAAACAGCGTGGATGCAAAATGCTACATGACAAATGAGTGCCATAAGATTTTGAAAAGTAGCTAAACAATATTAAGAACAGAATTGAGTTATGAAGTTACAGAAAATGTAGCACTCGCTAGAATACTACTATTGCTGTGTTTTACATGTAGTCGGTAAATTTTCAGTATACTGGACCCATGCATTGTTGAATAATTTGGCTTCTGTGTTGGATTTATCTCCTCAAGTTCTGACTCTGCTTCCTTTTATCATCTCATGATTTTTAACTCTTGTCTCTGGATTTAAATAAACTAGGAAGAATCAATAACAGTATAACAACAGAGTGTCGATGCTTAGGACATGAGGAGCCACTTACTACTTGTCTATCAAATGTTCCACCAATAATGGATTTTGTAAATAATATGAATGTTGCACATGGTTTACTGTGGAACACAGAGTAATAGCAAATCAAACAACTCTTTGTTTAAAAGGCAAGTGTGTCTACAAGATGAGGACTGCACAAATACTCATCTGCTGTGTCAGGTGGATATTCATTTAAGTATTGGACAATCCCATGGAATTATTCCAGGAAAGGCTGAGTTCTACTCAAGTGCTGTCCAACATTCCTCCTTCAACCATCACCACCAAAAACAGACAAACTGGCTATTAATCTCATTTTCCTTTCACGATATGTTGACGTAATAGTTGCTGCACTTCAAAGAAGTTCATCTGGTGTGCAATATGTTGAGACATTTATGAGAGATATGATAAGGTGCTTTATTAGTGCAGTTTTGTTCTTTCATGTATAAATATTAGGATTATGCATCAGCTTTGTGAACTGGATCCAGCAGTCCATCTGTTCAGATGACTAAAGTAGAGATTTGTTATTGGGCTTTTCACAATGTACTGGGTGTGAGCCTTTGTGTTGGGTTCCTTAATGAATTATAAAAGGCCAGGTCACAAGTTGAGATGTGGAATCAGCTGAGCTTCGATAGCCAGGTTGTCGTTTTTATAATCACCCACGGACCATACTCTGTAGTGTTGGAGTTGAGATAAAAACCAGCAGCAATAGTTCAAGTCTTGTCCAAGGATTTCAGCAGACCATAATACATCTTCTAATAATGTAATGGAAGGAGCCCTGCTCTGTACTTGATTGTGTTTTACCTTCCACCTGATGCTGAAAATGGATGCGTCCAATGTAAAATTTCACATTCCAAGACTAACATTCTTCAGCTGATCACGCAAGATATATGGAAATGTCGAGGCAGTAATTTGAGGACTATACAATCCAAATATTAAAACTCGATCATGATTTACTTCAGAATTGTTCAGCAACAAAATGTTTCATTATGAATTTATTGGTAGGAACTTCAAACATCAGTCCTATTATTTAATCATGTAAAATTGTTTTGAGGCTATTTAGAAGTGAGATTAGATGCCTGAAAATAATTGTGAAGAGAAAGAATTACTTTTTTTTAAACAAACATAGTACCTGCCTTTAGTGAACATACTGCTAATAGAAATATTTTGTTTGACAAAGAAAACATTGTTCTAATGCATCAATTCATTAATTCTTTCCATTGTGCTACACTCTGACTATCTTAGGAACAATTGAATAAGCAGGCTGCTTTTTAAAACCAGGATAATTCTTTAGGAAACTTTGCTTTCTCAACATGAAGTCAACGAGGCAAAATTGTTTGGAGACTCTCCCTCTTTATTGTTGTTGATTAGCTGGAACAATTTTCAAAGAAACTCGATAGTCTGTAAAAGTTCAGTGTCCAGACAGTTTATGGAACTGGAATGACGATGACAGAAATACAGTGTGTGCTTGCATCTATTAGAAACCCAATACTTTAGCCTCTGGCGTTTTGGAAAGCACCACATTGAAAATGTCGTGTTGTGTATCAATGTTGTGAAATGTATTTTGGTGTTTTTGCGCAGGATAACAATTTATTTCTCCACAGCTCCCAAATGTCCAGTCATACAGAGCAAAATTCAGTGCAGCTGGCAGAAGCACTAGCACAATCCAGACAGTTACTTTAGAATAGGTTAACACAAGGTCACCAGTATTAGAATTCAATACCACTCACATGTGAGTTCCATTACAGATTTTTTTTTTACATTTCAACAGATTCCACAAACAAGATTCGAAGATGTATTTCAAAAACTCTGGTTAGGACAACCCTGAAGAAAGTGTGCCCCGAATATCAACTGGTTGTAGATTCACCAAACCCAATTTGGACTGCTTTTGTTTTCCATTCTGTTCTCTCTTTAATTTATTGTTTGTTTGACTGGGTTTAAGTTTCTTTTTTTTTGTCACCTCATTTCATTTGCTCTTTCCAACTCTCTCATGCCTTTTGCTTCCAGCTTTCTTCCGCTTCTCCTATTTCTACAAAATGCAAACTAGAATGAGTGGTAGTCAGGGTGGCAGTAATTTACAACGGTTGTACAAGGAGTTTGAGAGCTTGAGCCAAATAAGAGGAGCAGCAGGGAATTGGTAATGAAACTGCATTACATCACGAGGTCAAGTATTCAAAGCTGAAAACCATGGAAGAGGGATTAATGAGCAGTTTCACCCTTTGCATAAGTCGTGCAACATTTCAAACAGGAGATGGTGTGCTGATGTACCTTGGAATAATGAACCATCTATTAGAGTCATAGAATCCCTACAGTGTGGAAGTGGCCATTCGGCCCATCAAGTCCACACCAGCCCTCCAAAAAGCATCCCAGCCTGACCCTATCTCTGTAACCCTATAATTCCCACATCTAATCTACCTGATCTACACCTCCCTGGACTGAGAGGTAACTGGACCACCCCAGAGGAAACCCATGCAAACACCATGGAGAATGGACAACTGTCTGTATGGAGTTTGCACAAAGCCGGAATCAAACCCAGGTCTCTGGGGCTGTGAAGCAGCCTTGCTAACCACTGAGCCACTGTGCCATATTGTTAGACCCAGTCACAGTCACATTGCTATAGAGAAACATTCCTGTGGCATTCAAATGCTTCCCACCAAGGCAGGTGGAAAACCAAAGTAATCCCTCCACAGCTCTCTCCATGTAGCATTTTGTTGAAGGAAAATTCCAGGGATACAACGTGTTGTTCAATAAAAAGGGAACAATCTGTAAACGAGAAAATTTCCTGCACCCAATAATGGTGCTGTTCAGGGAGCTGCCGAACAAGTAGAGCTCAGTGTGAATGGTCTAACTGTAGAAGTTGCTCCATAATAAATGAAGCTGTTTAAGGGCAGTAGATTGATGGGGAAAGACTTATGATTAGCTACATGTTTCATGCAGTTGGGCAGCCAATTTTCATAATTACTGGCCCAGTTAGAGGAAATTTTATTGGGTGCTGGCATTTGCTGATGGTGCTGCAGCTGTGCAGCTAACGGAGAGGCCAATAGTTTCATGAAGGTGGACTGCCTGGGGCAACTGGGTTTGGGAATGGGGTTGGGAATGGGAATGAGCCTGGAAAATAGAGAGAGTACCCCTCATGAGGGATTCCTCCTTCTTCCCAATGGACCAATGGCACTCAATCCTTCGCATTTTGATTTCAATATACCAGTCCCATGTTGCCTTTGCTCTGAGGTACTTTTAAGCCCACTGATCTGCCTCAGTGGTGCCCTGCTCTTCCAATGGGACTCTATGGATTATACAGCCTCCTACCTTCTAACTGGGCTGGCAACATCAGGGGTCCTTAAGACGAATGAGTCCATCCCATGGTAAAATCATGAGCCAGTTCTGCTGCCAAGAATTGAGCTCATAAACCACCTGTCATCAAGCCAATAGAGATGGGTATAAATGTATGCTGGATACACTGCAAAGATGAGTAACGCCATTTGCTTAAAGGCAAATAATTGGATCTCATTGTCTCTCTGTATCTCCTTTTGAGATGGGTGGAGGAGCCAAATCTCCATGCTTGCTAGCTTTTAATTTTTTTTTTATAGTTTGTCTGATATATAAATGCTATTCTTGTTTGTTAGGTCTCACCATTGCCAAACGCATCGAGATATCGGATTTGCCTCAGCTGGTTGCTGCCTTTCACAGTTTGGTTGGTTTGGCAGCTGTTCTCACCTGCATTGCTGAGTATATGATCGAGTTCCCACACCTTGATACAAATCCTGCTGCGAATCTTATTAAGACTGTGGCTTATTTGGGCACATACATCGGTGGCGTGACATTTAGCGGTTCTCTGGTGGCTTATGGGAAATTACAAGGTAACGTTTTCTTTATACTTAGAACAGATTGCATTAAACTACCCGATATGTTAAAACTTTAAGTTCAATCTTCCTGATTCTTTCATGAATGAGTTTAATTTTTTTAGTACTTTAAGTAACTCTAAATATTTATATTCTTGTTGCTAATATATTGCATATCTATATTGTGAATTATAATTCAATATTATTAACAGTGAGAACAGGTTTTGTTCCAAATATAGAAAAAATTTATTTCCAGGCAAAATACAAATGAAAATTTAAACTCCATTACTGTCTGCTGTTTGGGGAAAATAAAGCCTTGCCTTTTGAGGGGAAGGTACACACACTGAACCTAGAACCCATGATTGCACTGAGTGTCAGCAAAAGTCCTTGGATGCAAATCTCTTTTTTATTTAATGCATTGATACTTTTGTAAGTTATCCTTCAGTGAGAGAGCTGCCCTATTTCACATCTGCGTAGATGCTGCTTAACTGTGTGTGTGTTTACATACACATGAGAGAGAGACAGGGTGATTTGCCACACAACTCTTATCTGCAACCTAAAGATTACTTTCTCTACTTTGTTTTTGTCATTGTGTTCCCTGTATTGCTTTTTACTTTCAACTTGCAATTAAATTTACATTTTTTTTTATAATCTTGAATGCTTCCAAATTGCTTTAAAACTGATCAACTAAAAGTCACTTCAGCAACAGAATTTTTTTTGTTAAACCAACTTGCCAGTGAATAGCTAAAGTTCACTTCTTTGTTACACAGGCCTACTAAACTCTGCTCCACTTATGCTACCTGGCCGGCACTACCTGAATGCTGGATTGTTAGCAGCCTCAGTTGGTGGATTGGTACCATTCATGCTGGATCCCAGTTATACCACAGGCATGACCAGTCTATTAAGTGTCTCTGCTTTGTCAACAATCATGGTATGAAAACCTTAAATCTGTTGTAGCTATTTGTTGAATGAATTGATATTTGCTAGTTTTTTAATTAAAATACTGTTGTTGATTTTACACAAGATGAGTACATACTGTCATCCAGCACATCAAAGAGTACTTATTTTAATTCCAGGAATACAAATTTGGAATTTAAAATAGTTTTCATGCTTTACCATTCTTCCTGGGTTTATTGGGTTAAAAATTTAAGAAAATTTGAAACTGGGTAAAGAGACAAATGGAACCATGAATTGAATTTGCTTTATTGTCATATGTACTCGCATGAGTGCAGTGAAAAGTTTACAAGTCACCACTTGCGGTGCCATCTTCGATACTAAGGTACCTCGGTATAGATTCTTGAGTACAAATTCTGAGGGGAAGAAAGATTAGGAAAAATAAGGAAATAAGAAGTTCAGAATAACTTTGTCAGTATATTGACAATAAATGCCACAATTTTTACAGGTCAAGTTATCTGGAGCAACAATCAATTGTAGAAACATAAGACTAAACTGTATGCCCTTTTATGAAGCCTGTAGGTCAGTGCAAGTTAGTCAAAAAATGTGCAGTGCTTGGAAGAACACAATAATGTCACGACTTCATTACATGGCAACCAGGTTCACAGAAAAGTCAGCAAGCTGTTAAGTGTCCAAATGAAGTTTGGAGAAACTTAAATGACTCTCTTGCCCTAAAAAGAAAGCAATTCTCTAGTTTTACTGCTTAATATTAAGTAGAATAAAAGGCATAGAATCATATGGGGGGGGGGTGAAAACTGAGTTTACACTTATCAGAGTTTTCTTTACAAAGTACAAAAGAATTCAAAGTTTGGAGTGGATTTTTAGACAGGGTAGTGCAGATGGAAAAAAACCTTTTACAGCCATTCAGGAACCAACTATCGTTTATTGACTTTCTGGATGGATGAAACAAAGGTATTCCAACTGGCCCTTATTTGGCTGTATCTTTTGTGAACTGTGAAAATAAATGCACTACCAGCTCTTTGAATGATAAATGGTTACGACAATAAGATCTGATTTGTAGTTTTTGAAATTGCAACTTGGCAACTAATTTTTTAAATTACAGATATTTTTTCTGATTTTCATCACCCTTAGCTAGAACAATATTCATTAATATATATTACTTATTATCAAATACGTTTATGATCTACCGTGGAACAATGGTAGAATACCTACCTGTGAGCTAGGAGAGGCAAATTCAAGTGCCACCTGCTCCAGAGGTGTCTGACAATATTTGATATAGGTTTTAGTATCGTGTAATATAACTGCATTATAACTCTGTTGTACCTATTTTGTGTCTAGGGCGTGACTCTCACAGCTGCCATTGGTGGGGCTGACATGCCTGTTGTGATCACGGTGTTAAACAGTTATTCTGGTTGGGCCCTGTGTGCAGAAGGTTTTCTGTTGGATAACAATTTAATGACGATTGTTGGTGCTCTGATAGGATCTTCTGGCGCTATCCTCTCGTATATCATGTGTGTGGTAAGATATTTTCTTTCTAAAAGCAAACCTTCGGATGATGCTGTCTGTTGTTAGCTAGTGGGGTCTAGCTAGGACGCCTGAATTGGAGCAGAATTAGGAAGACATGATGGTTATCTGGTAGTTGAGTGAGAAATTGATTTGTGAGGGTTCTTGTGGTGCGGTAGTAGTCTGTACCCCTGAGTCTGGAGACCTGGGTTCAAGTCCCACCTGCTCCAGAGATGAATATAACATCCCTGAATTAGACTTTTTTTAATTGATTGCGTGTAAATAAGGAACAAGTTAACAGTGGGTTGACCGGTGTGGAATAAAGCTGTGACCAGAATAGTTTATTAGCAGACTGTATGTAACCGGCACGTTTTAAATCTCTGGCATTTATCATTGTCTCCCAAATCAGATTATTGTGGACTTAAGCTCAGAAGATCTGGAACATTTTTGTGTGGGTTGCAACAGATTTCCATTTTGAAACCAGAAGCAACATAAATAACAATTAAAATCTAACTTTTTTTTTCATAAAGGTACATACAATAACTCCTTCCCACAAATGCCTTGTAGACTTGTTTATTTGTACAAAATGGATCTTACTAGTTTGCTTTTAGAGACAAGTCATAATGGATTGTTCCGGAAGGGTCTGAGAATCACGCATTTAAACTGATGTGAAACGTTGGTTACTGAAGTACAGGAGCATTTATAGATGCTAATACTATCTCGGTCACATCATTGTGACTATCAGTGGTTGATTTTGGGTTGCTAATTAATAAATCTTAGCAAACTGTTCTACTCTCTTTTTTTCTTAAATGAGAAAGTGTGATTAGGCATTTCACCTTCAGTATCACTGCATCAAAGAATGTGCATGTCTGACCTCTTCAACAAATGAGAATTGTTCTTAGTGTGAAGTCTACTTTCATAACAATATGCAAAAAAAGGAAAAGTCATTACACACAAGATTCCTGAAATCTGTGTTATATGTTCATGTGCTCAACTGTTTCAGCCTTTTTAAGTATCTGCAGTAGCTTTGTATCACCATCTAGGCAGTTACAAACTGTAACTAAATGGGGGGGAAAAATATTGTACACCAGTAAATCCAGTCATACAATCATTGCTCACAAGAAACCACTCTGCTGGAATTAAACTGTACCTAAATATCTTGCTGTACATTAAATATTAAACTACTTTTGGTGCCTTACATTCAAGGCTATGAATCGCTCATTACCCAATGTAATCTTGGGAGGATATGGAACATCATCTACTGGCACAGGCAAACCCATGGAAATTGTTGGAACTCACACTGAAGTAAATGTGGATCAGGCTGTTGAAATGATCAAGGAGGCCAACTCAATCATCATTACTCCAGGTAAGGGTTCATGGAATCAGTGGTTTATAATGAATAAGTGGTTTCCACTAGCAAAGATAGAAGTAGAATCCACAACCTGATTGTTAAGATATGACCATGTTTGAAAATAATTATTTACAATTTATAAGTTTGTTAGAATTTTTGTTTTCTATTTACAAAAATAAACTGAAAAAACTTGAGTATTCTTAGGAAAAAGATGCTGTCAGAGATTTTCAGACCAAAATTGCAAGAGTTCCAGAATTCTTTCCAATGCTTCAGTGTTGTACTAACAAGCAAAAAAGAAAAACTCAATGTGGACTGTTTGTTTTTCTTTCAACTCTACCAAATATCCTGTAATTAAAGGTTACCATTTCTCTATAGATAAGTAACAAATAGTGCTTATCAAGGAAAGTGAAGATAAATGTGAAAATTAGTAATGTGAACCCCTCCATTTATCAGTATCTGTGCAATTGCATCACCATCATAATCCCTTTGATTCAATGGTAAACAATAACAAGACATTTTTTAAAAATTAAATGCTAAAATTATGAAAGGTTTTAATTATGTGACTTAGGAAAAACTGTTTGTTCAGTCATTTGATATACCAGAAGACACAAACAGAAGCGAGGCTCAAGAAATTTTTCCATTTGTTTGCTACTCTGCATCTTTAAAGTTTACTTAGGTAGTAAGGGAAAGGTGAGGGCA